CCTTCAGGGTAAAAAATGGTCATTCAGTGAAATAGGGGACTTTGAAGCATTCTTGAGGAAAAGACCAGAGCTGAATATAAAATTTGACTTTCAAATACAAGACTCAAGTGAAACATAGAAGAGGTAAACAGGAAAGAAAAATCATAAGAGACTCACTAAGGTTGAACTGTTTACATTTCTGCAGGGAAAGATGATATTTGTAACTTATGAGTCCTTTGTCAGTATTAGGGTAGTGGGAGGGGAAAAAAGTTATATGTGTGTATAGATAAATAGATAGATAGAGGGCACAGGGTGAGTTGAAGATGAAGGGATGATATCTGGAAAACAAAATTATGGGGTGAGAGAGGATTATACTTGGAGAAGGAGAAAGGGAGAAGTAGAATGGGGTAAATTATCTCACATGAAACAGACAAGAAAAGGCTTTTACAGTGGAGGGGAAATGGGGGAAAGTGAGAGGGAATGAGTGAATCTTATTCTCATAGGATATGGCTTAAGGAGGGAATAACATACACAATGGGGTATGGAGATCTATCTTACCCTACAGGAAAATAAGGGGGGAAGGGGATAAGAGAGCAGGGGCTAGATAGAGGGGAGGGAACACTGGGGGAGGGGATAATCAGAAGCAAACACTTCTAAGGAGGGACAGAGTCAAAAGAGAGAATAGGATAAATGGGGGTTAGGATAGGATGAAGGGAAATATACTTAGATTTTCACAACATGACTACTATGGAAGTGTTTTGCATGACTATACATCTATAACCTGTATTGAGATGCTTGCCTTTTCAATGAGGGTGGGCGGGGAGGGAGGAAGGGAGAAAATATGTAACCCAAAGTTTTAAAAACACTTGTTAAAAATTAAAAAAATAATTTTTTAAACTAAAAAAAGAAAATTAGGTGTATTTTGTTAATATTCTGTTGAAAGAGAAGGGAAGGGAAAAAGAAGGAGGTTAATTCTATTAAATTTTGATAAGAGAAAACAAAAACTTTATCTTCAAGAAATTCAGTATTAGCCTTCTTTCTGGAGTATCATGGAATGGGTCTGAACTAACAGTGTATATAGCAATGGGTGTGATGAATTTTAGTCTACTTTACATTTCCATAGTTCACTCTGGGAACATTTGTAATTCATATTCTACTTCACTGATCTCTTAAGTAGCTGTAACACCTAAAGTCCTTGTGGAGGAGAGATCAGTGTTGGATATTAATTTTATTCAACACCCTCCCCCGTTTTTAAACACCTACAATGTACAAAGCACTGGTATGAGTATTAGAGGAGTTTATGTTCTGTTGTGGAGATATGACAGGTACACAAATAAGTAAATAACATTTTAATTTAGAGAGTGAAAGAAAAGGGAAACTCTCCCGATAGTGTTTACATCTGAGCTTAGTCCTGAAAATATTCTAAGCATTCCAGGCATGGGAGACAGTAAAAATACCTGGAGTTAGGAGATGAAGTATTTTGTTTGAGGAACAATAAGGAGGCCAGTGTCACTGGATTGAAGAGTATATAAAGGGTTTGGGAGCATAAGATAAAAAGACTGCAAAGGTAGGGGTGATGCAATGAAGTAGGAATATATTTTATTCTGGAGGTAATAGGAAGCCACTAGGGTTTATTGGATAGGGGAGTGACATAGTCACTTAGTCACATAGTCACACAGACGTGTGCTTTAGGAAGACAGCTTTGACATCTGAATAAAGGGTAGACTGGAGTGAGGAGAGACTTCTGGCAGGGAGAGAAGCCAGCAGGCTATTACAGTAGTCCATGCAGGACATCCTCCAGGGGCCAGCCTCCCCACCCAAGAACTCCAGTGCTACTGACCTCAGCTCAGTGCCAGATAAGCTGCCAGACCCCTACAGCCTCCAGTGGCCAGCACTTAAGGCCCCAGCACACAAAGCCAGTGACCAGGTCCCAGGCTTCCAGTACAGTAAGCTTGGGTCAGTGCCCCTGGTCCTCCAGCAGGAGAGCCCAACTTTAAAAGCTGGGAAATAGGCAAACACCATGAGCAGAAAGCAGAAACAGACAATGACCATAGATTCTTATTATGGGAACAGGGAAGATCGAGGTACAAATTCAGAAGAGGACAACATTGTCAGTATACCCACATCTGAAACCTGAAAAGAGAATATGAACTGGTCCCAAGCCCAGAAAGCTTTTTTAGAACAGTTCAAGAAGGATTTTAAAAGTCAAATAAGAAAGGTAGAAGAAAAATTGGAAAAGGAAATAAGTATGGAAGAGACAGTCAATAGTTTGAAAAAGGGAGGACACAAATTGATTGTAGAAAACAAGTCCTTAAAAAATACAATTGGCCAAATTGGGGGGAGAAAAAAAAGTACACTGAAGAAATCAATTCCTTAAAAAGTAGACTAGGCTAATTGGCAAAGGAGGCACAAAAATTCACTGAAGAGAAGATCTGCTTAAAAAGTTGAATGGGCCAAATAGAGAAGGAGGTACAAAATCTAATAGAAGGAAACGATTTGTTAAAAAATTAGAATTGGGCAAGTGGAAGCTAATGATTCTATGAGATATCAAGAATCAGTCAAACAGAAACAAAAGAATGAAAAAATAGAAGAAAACATAAAATACTTAATTTGTAGAACAGCTGACCTGGAAAATAGGTCCAGGAGAGATCATTGAAAAATTATTGGTCCACCTGAGAACCATGATGAAAAAAAGAGCCTAGGCAGCATCTTTCAGGAAATCAAGGAAAATTGCCCTGAGGTTCTAGAACCAGAAAGTAAAATAGCCATCAAAAGAATCCACCATTCACCTTCTGAAAGAGATCCCAAATTGAAAACACCAAGAAATATTGTATCCAAATTCCAAAATTACCAATTCAAAGAGAAAATACTGCGAGCAGCCAGAAAGAAACAATTGAAATATCATGGAACTGTAGTCATGATTACGCAAGACCTTGCAGGTTCTACATTAAAAAATTGGAGGGTGTGGAATAACGATATTCTGTAATGCAAAGGAGCTTGGATTACAAGCGAGGATCACTACCAGTGAAATTGAGCATAATCTTTCAGGGGAGGAGATGGACATTCAACAAAATAGGGGACTTACAAACCTTCCTGATGAAAAAACCAGAGCTCAACAGGAAATTTGATCTTCAAATACAAGACTCAAGAGAGACATTAAAAGGTAAACAGGAAGGAAAAAAACAACAACATGTTATTAATAAGGGCAAACTGTTTACATCCCTAGAAGGGAAGATTAACTGTATTGTTATTAGGACATTTAAAAGGGTATCCATAGACAGAGGGCATAGGTATAAGTTGACTTTGATGTGATGATAAAAATATAATTAAGTGATGAAAAGGGATTGTTCTGGGAGAAGGGGAAAGGAAGAGGCAGACAAGGGTAAATTACATCACATGAAAAGGCACAAAAACCTATTACAGTAGAGGGGAAGAAGGGAGGGAGATGAGCATTGTTTGAACCTTACTCATCAGATTTGGCTCAATAAGGGAATAACATAATCAGTTTAGGTATAGAAATCTAACTTACTGTATAGGAAGTAGAAGGAGAAAGGAAAGGGAGGGAAGAAGTAATAAGGGGAAAGGAGAAGAAAAGGAAGGGAGCTGATAAAAGTGAGGGCAGACTGAGGGAGGCAGTGTCCTCTAACAAGGAGGGAAAGGGAAAAAGGAAAGAGAAAAGCACAAACTGGGGAAAATACGATGGAGAGAAAGATACATATAGTAATCATAACTGTGAATGTGAACGGGTTGAACTCTCCCAGAAAACAGAAGTGGATAGCAGAGTGGGTTAAGAACCATAATCCTACAACATGTTTAAAAACCTGAAAAGACTTATATGATGAGTGAAATGAGCAGAACCAGGAGAACATTGTACCCAATAACAGCCACATTGTGCGATGACTGACTTTGGTAGACTTAGCTCTTCTCAGCAATGCAAGGATCTTAGACAACTCCAAGACTTATGATGGAAAATGCTATCCACATCCAGAGAAAGTTTGGAGTCTGAATGCAGATGGAGGCATGCTATTTGCTCTCCTTTTCTTTTGTTGTTTTGTTTTGTTTCTTCTTTCTCATGGTTCTTCCCAGTAGTTCTAATTCTTCTTTACATCATGACTAATGTGAAAATATTTAATATGAATGTATAAGTAGAGTCTATATCAGATTGTATGTCATCTTGGGGAGGGGGAGGAAAGTTAGGAGGAGAAAATTTAGAACTCAAAATCTTATGGAAGTGAATGTTGAAAACTAAAATAAATAATTTTTTGAAAAAGGGGAAAAAAATAAACAATAGTCCATGTAGAAAGTGATGAGGGCCTATACCAGGGTGGTGAGAGAAGGGGATGTCTATGAGAGAAGTTATGAAGGTAAAATGAGCAGGCTTGGCAGTAGATTGGATATGGAGGGGTGAGAAAGATGAAGAGTTGAGGATAACACACCTAAGTTGCAAGACTAGGTGACTAGGAGGAATTGGAAGTGAAGAATAAGGCTGTGAGCCCAGTATTTATTGCTTTGAAAAAGAAGTCAGAATAAGTTGGAAGCTAGTAGATGATAGGACTTGGAAGTCAGAGGGAATTGGAAGGGGATGATAGACTTGGGAGATGGGCATAAAATTTAAAAATATATTACTATCATGCCTTTATGTAAATTTCTCATCTTCAAAAGTTTTGAGCGAACATATGTAAACAGTACTGTACTGTGTGTTATACTGCAGGTTTAAATAATATCTCTCTTATCCTTATAATTGAGCGTATTATGATTGTAGTAATTTTAACTCTAAGGACATTTTTTCCCAAATGAGTAATTTAGAAGGGTAAATAACCTAATTTGTCTTTGAAAGGTGATTTTTTAAAAAAATTCTTCAACCAAATGTTCCCATGTAAAGTGACAAACTAATTTATTTGAAACATAGTTGACTGTGTTTTACATTGAGATCATCCTTATGTAATTCACTTTTTAAAGTAAAGTAAAATGCTTTTGAGTATATGTTAATTCTTTCTGAATTTTCTGTCTCTATACTGCAGAATGGTAAATAACGCTGACACACTTCCAGAAGCATTTTGACTTCCCCTCCTCATGTAAAGTATGCTCAGTTCCTTTCCAGTGGTGTAAGTACCCAATAATTTTCTGTAAGTTCATTTATTTTCATTTTACTGTGCTTCTATAGGGAAGGGTAAAAATAACTATTACTGATATATGTTGCTTAATCTAAATTTAAATAAAGAAGTATGCGTTGTCTGAAGTCTGAAGAAACATTCAAATGATTCATCTGATGAGCATGAAGTAATAAGCAAAGTATTACTTTAGTTGCTTCTCTCATGCCAGAGAGTAAATTTTCAATTTTATCTGGCTTCCTTTTCCATCTCTCTTTTCACATATTTTGAACTTAACTAAATTTCTGATTATTAATATCACATTTAAGTTGAAAACATAAGTTTTTTTGGTTCTAAAGAGTAGGTATTATCATAAGAACTTACATAAATGCTTGATCATTTTCTTCATTAGATGCAATATCCTTTTAACAAGTTGTATGTGGTCGTATATACGCATCTCAGACATTTAGCTTTATTCTTGGTTTAAAAGATGGTCAAGCCTAGCCACTCATGTAGTTGTTGGCCTTTTCTTGAAGAGAGATAAATAGGGCATCAGTTGAAGTGATGTCATTATATTGTGAACATTTTACCAATGTCAGTTGTATTATAATCCCTAATTAATATTAAATAGGGCCCTGAAATAGTATTCTGAGAATTTTATAAAACAGGAAAGATCTTTTAGCTCATTTGAGAGCCTCTTTTGGGCCAAATGCCGAATCTCTTCCATGTAAAGTATTTAAAAATACTTGATTCAGTTTTTTTTACCATAAAGTATCCGCTGTTTACATTGGGGAGATAATTTCACATTGTAATAAATCTTAAATATATATTTTCCCTTCGTTCATTTTTAAAATTTTGTGGTTTTGGCAGTGTTCCACATAGGAAAAAGCTCTGGGCTTGGAATCTGATGATCTGGGTTTGAATCACTGCTCAGAGACAGTGTGATATCTTGGAAAGAGCCCTGGATCTGTCAACAGAGGATCTGGGTTCTACTTCAAGCTTTGCCACTATTTGTGTAACCTTGGGCAAGAGACCTTATTGCTCTGAGCTTCAGTATCTATGTCTGTAAAATGAGGTTATTGCACTAAAAAGTGATCTGTCTCAGATCACTTCCAATCATAAATCCTAAATAACTGTGTGATTTGGGGAATGTCATTTCATTTCCTTGGCCTTCAGTTTCTTCATCCTTTAAAGAGTAAATAGGAGTAAATAATCTCTTAAGATCCTATCTATCCAGCCTTAAAAGTCTGATTCTATTCTTTGTAACATCCTTTACAAACTTAATTCCTTTTTTTATTTGAATTTTTTTTCATATATCCCAAATTTATATACTACATTTAAATCTTTAACTATATAGAAAATTGTAATTATCCAGACCAGCAAGAGCTACAGGTCAAACACCTGCTCTCTAGCAGGTCAGAATGGCTCTTCTTCCTTCCTCTTCTGCCTACTCTTGACTGTACCCTTCCCACCCACCCTCTGTTATTCCATCCTTACCCCAATCCTTCCCTTTCCTACTTGCTCCCCCCTTTCCCCCTCATTCTCCTCATACCTGTGTTGGTCAAAGACTTGAACACTTTACTAAGTCTAAATTTTCAGAACACTACTCAACATGGACATCAGTGTGACTTAAAGTGAATTAAAAGTAACCATCTGGCTGCTTAGGAATGAAAAGGAAGTTGGTAACATGAAAAGTAAGAAGAATCTGTGAAAAAAGATTCATAAAGAGAGTAGTATATCACCATCTCATAAGGGAATTGTCCTGAGAGGATAATTACTCTGTTACTGGACCCACCAGTGCCATCTTTAAAATTTTTCCTGTGATCATTGACAAACAGACGACATCAATAGTTCTGTGACCAATGGTACAGCCCCAAGTGGACCCAGCTACCCCATCACCCCTAAGGCTTATAGTCCCTGCTAACTAGTGTGATTCTTTCTTTGGGGGGAAAAAAGGATACAAAAATAAAGAAATAAGAGATAATATAGGGGCTCAGTTCCAGGTAGCAGAGGAATATGTGCTTAGCCTAGTGCCTGGCACAGAGTAGACACTTAAGAAATGCTTATTGACTGATGGCTACCAAACTCAACAGAGCAGTCCATCACTATTGCTGGCATCCCACATCTATCATTGAGTGTATCAAACAAATCTTCATGGTCATGTTGGAGTTTTCTCCTCCTTTCCCTCAAAGGGCATGATCGCCCTATTCTGGCCCAACCCCTGCAACTCTCCAGTCATCTTTGCAGGTCATCAGGAAAGGAATAGCATAGTCAGTGACAACACATTTCATCCCTCACCCCTCTGTCCATGTATCTCAACTCTGGCCTGAAAGAACCACCTTTAGAGTTAACCAAGCACCATGAATTTGGCACTGTAATGGCAACACCGTATGGCAACACCAAATTCACTGGCATTTATTTAATGCAGCTCTCTTGAAGTGAAAGACTATTGGGCGTGTTTGTCACATGTACTCAGATTGCTTCTCATGGACTCACCATTCCGAGTGATTTAAGTGGCTGCATAATTAGGCATCAAAGTTGCAAAATCAGTGATTTTTTTGATGAATAGGGCTTAGGTGAAAATTGTTAATACAGTGAAATTATGTACTGATAGCCAGGTTTCCATCACTAGAACTTCTGCCAGTATCATCCTTGCCCAGTATACAATCAGTGTCAAGTGGCACTTCACTCAGAATTAAGTGGAATGGGGAACTGCTGGAATGATGCAGACTTACCCATAAACCCCTTCAGCTGGTCACAACCTAGGATTCATCTGTATAGTTTCTGGAAAATCACTTAGTGATTCCAGGTTTTAATATTTTATAAGTGTTCAGTTTCTGCAAAATTTTATCATGGGCTTGTGATTCTTACCATCATATCATTTTAAGTTCTTCATCTGTTCAGTTATTAATGCTGAGAGCTAAATTTAGTTTTGTAAGCTTTTCCCTCTCATGGGAAAATTAGGGAGGTTTGGGGGCTTGTGAATTTTTTCTGCTTTGACATTGAAATTTAAGAATGGAATTTTAATATATTTCAGGTTAGTTCTGTGATGTCAGGAATTAAAGTTGGACTAAAAATGGTAATGATTGTAGGAACACTTAATGTAACCTGAATAATAAATGAAAAAAAATAGATATTTTTATATAATCAAGTCATAACTGTTGGTTTAGTTGAAAGAGCACTGGCTCTAGATTCAGAAAATCTGCATTCAAATCCCACATTATGCTTACTAATAATGTGACCTTGGGAAAGTCATTTAATATCTCTGGGCCTCAGTTTATTTAACTGTAGAGTGAGAGGGTTGGAATATGAGATCCTCAGAGGTGCTTCTTAGCTCTAGATCCAAGGTCCTATGACTCTGATGTTTGAGCTTATTTTAATATCATAATCTGCCACCATAGTGTGTTCTTATACTTTGGTTTTCCTAATGATTTAAATGATGAATTTATTTATGTCATACAACTAAGCTTATTGACTTGAATGCAAGCATGCAACTTGTCTCTCCTTAATAATAGTGTTAGTAACTAACAACTAAATCTATACTCAGTGAAACCTTAATTAAAGTCTCTACCGTCTTTATGAATTGCATGTTGGTTATTGGTCTTTTTTATACAGAGAATGTTTTGATGTATAGATATTTTACTTTTTAAATTTTTCTCAATTACATATAAAGACCATTTTTAACATTCTTTTTGAGAAATTTTGAGTTTCAAATTCTTCCCCTTTTTGAGAAGACAAGCAATTTGCTATAAATGATATGGGTGTAGTCAAGCAAACGTATTTCCATATTAGCCATGCTGCAAAAGAAAATAGACCAAAAAAAAAAGAAAAGTTAAAGTTAAAAATGTATGCTTTGATCTTCATTCAGACTCCATCAGTTCTTTCTCTGGAAATGGATAGCATTTTTCAACATAAGTTCTTTAAAATTGACTTGGATCATTGTATTGCTGAGAATAGCTGTGTCATTCACAGTTGATTATCATACAATACTGCTGTTACTTTGTACAGTGTTCTCCTGGTTCTACTCACTTCACTTCGCATCAGTTCATATAAGTCTTCCCAAGTTTTTCTGAAAGCATCTTGCTCGTCATTTTTTACAGGACAGTAGTATTCCATCACAGTCATATAGTACAAGTTGTTCAGCCATTCCTCAAGTGATGGGCATTTCCTCAATTTCTAATTCATTGTTACAACGACAACAAAAAAAGCTGCTATAAATATTTTTTACATATGTATATACATGTATATATACATGATTATGTATATGTGTATATATATACACATACACATACATATGTCCCTATATATCCTCCCTAAAAAAGGAATCCTTATCCTTTTTTTTTTTTAATCTCTTTGGGATACAAACATTGTAGTGATATAGTGGTCAAAGTATATGCATGATTTGCTAGTTCCAAATAGTTCTCTGGAGTGGTTGGATTAGTTTAAAGCTCCACCAAAAGTGCATTAGTGTTCCAGTTTTTTCACATCCCCCCAACATTTGTCATTTTCCTTTTCTGTCATATGAGCCAATCAGATAGGTGTGAGGTGGTATCTCAGAGTTGTTTTAATTGGCATTTCTCTAATCAATAGTGATTTTGAGCATTTTTTCATATGACAACAGATAGCTTTGATCTCTTCTTCTAAAAACTACCTGTTTATTTTCTTTGACCATTTATCAATTGGGGAATGACTTGTATGGGGAATGACCTAAAATTTGGCTCAGTTCTTTATTTACTTAAGAAATGAGTCCTTGATCAGAGAAACTTGCTATAAATTTTTTTCCCCAGTTACCTGCTTTTCTCTTAATCTTGGTTGCATTGGGCAGTTTTTGTGTAAAAACTTTTTAATATAATCAAAATTATCCATTGCTCTCTATCTCTTGTTTGGTCATGAGTTCTTCCCTTATCCATTCTTTCCACCTTTGTTGTTCACCTGTTCCACCTAACTCTCACCGTGGCTTCAAGAAGCAGTAGTATGTGCAGCGGCCACACCCTGGTAAACTGTTTCAGCAGATG